CTTTGTTTTAAACTAGACACCTAACTACATCGTCTGACCGGCGTCGATTTTTCAATTAAGCCTTTATTGGTTTTCCAGGCAACCAACAACCTTTAAAACCCGAAAAAGCCTTCTAAAAATCCTTAATTTGATAAAAAACTAAGACCTAACTCAAAAATCGGCGCCGGTCAGACGATGTAGTTTCTTCTCCTCTTTGAAACAAAAAAAGAATAAACTCTCTATGACAGACCGCTATAAAAAATCTTGGGAAATACTTCAGGTGTAACTCTTATATAGAGAAAATGCTGTATGAAATACTCAATTTTAGAACTTCTAGGGAAATGCCTGTAACTTTTTGATACAGAGGTGTGCGAGGTCTTATTTTGATCAGAAACGTTTGCTCTACAAACCTGTGTGTTTAGAAAAATTTTAATTGCATTAGTATCCAGGAAAAAGCTATTATTTGAAGATTCAGTTTTTCGAGACTCCTAGAAAACTTGCTCAAAATCCGGGAAAAACCACTTTTGTAACCAAAAGCGATACAGATTCTGAAAGGAGACACTACAGGCTATCTTCCCATGTGCTTATCTCAAAACCGATATTTTGACCGAAAATCACCATTTCTGAGGGGAGGACCTTAATCAATTAAGCTTGATTCTTGTTTCGTCCACACTTTTTTTATCCTTTTTAAAACATGAAATTATAGTTGCAATTATAAAAATGTTTTTTTGATGATTTGAAAAAAGTTGATGAAATTCAATAAAAAAGAATACCTGAGCAATTTTTTATCAAAAGTAATAGTGTACAGAAAACAGTTGTAGTTGATAATAGAAGACGAATGTAGAATTATTATGATTTTTCCAGTTATCGAACGAATAATAATGTTGAAGGTTGGCATTATTGACTTAACCCATCACTTAATAATGTTGCTCATCCCGGTTTTTATACATTTATTCAATCAATCCAAAATGATCCTGCATATAATATAGCCTTGAAAAACATTTGTACCAAGCAAAATAGTTTACCGTCACGTAAGAAATTATATGTTAATCGTAATCATCGTTTACATAATTTAGAAGATAGATATAAACAAAATCGTATAAATTGAAATGACTTTTTGTGTAAGGTATCAAAAACAAGGTTAGGTGTTAAAAAGTTTTGATCTTTTTGTCAAATGTTTTTCAAGATTATGTTGTATGTATGATCATTTTGAAATAAAAACTTTATAATTGCAACTAGAGTATCGTGGGGGGGGGAAGAGACACCGTTTCAATTTTTTGTCGTACTTTTATTAGTTCTCAGTCATTTTTGGTCGGAAAAACTTGCTATTGAACATGATGGTGGAGCGAACATTTTTCTACACGTTGATGTAAAAATCTTCTAGAAATCTCTGACCGATTTTCAACCAGATCCAAAATGCGAAGAGTCCCATGAAAGTGTCTCTTTTCCCCCACTCGAGGTAAAAAGAGACACTCCATTCAAATGCATGGAGTTTTAATTAATAATTGACTGCTAAGTAAGTTTTAGAGATAATTAGTTAAAAAATACCTCATTTTGTAGCCCAAATCTTCCTCTCTCTATCATATGATTTTCAGCTCATTAAACTAATTAAGACACAATCAACCACACTCGAGATTATCTTTTTTTTCTTTTGATGCATTGGGGGAAAAACAAACACTCCATTGAAATACACGGAGTTCTCAGAGACAAACCTCTACTGTCTCACAGAAGCCGATTTTGATACTATGCCAAATGGCAAAGTTGTTTAGAATGCTGAACTCTATAACGTGTGAAAATCACTACTCCACTGAAAAACTTTTTATATTGGTTTAGCAAAAAATGCGATATAAATTCGAACATATTTTATGTAATAAATTAATTGCAATTGATTAATTATGATTATTATAGCCAGGCATTTTTAATAAAATATTATGTCTATGTCATAGACCAGAATCTTCTCTATCGAATCAAACTCTGTCGAGAAAAAAAGGATAAGATTTGGCCAACATATCGATCAAATACATAATAATGTGTAGGAAGACTACCAGGTTTCTCGAAAAACTCTAAAACTTACTTAGCAGTCAATTATTAATTAAAACTCCATGCATTTGAATGGAGTGTCTCTTTTTACCTCGAGTGGGGGAAAAGAGACACTTTCATGGGACTCTTCGCATTTTGGATCTGGTTGAAAATCGGTCAGAGATTTCTAGAAGATTTTTACATCAACGTGTAGAAAAATGTTCGCTCCACCATCATGTTCAATAGCAAGTTTTTCCGACCAAAAATGACTGAGAACTAATAAAAGTACGACAAAAAATTGAAACGGTGTCTCTTTTCCCCTCACGATACTCTATAATTCCATGTTTTACAAAGGATAAAAACATTGTCGACGAAACAAGAATCAAACTTAATTGATTGAAAAACATAGTGTCTACGAATCAAGATAAAAAGAGTGTCGAAGCTTTCTTAAAATTCATGAATACTATTGATTACTCATCAATTTCTAGTCCGTTTTTATCAACTGTTTAATTTGTAATTTAGGATAAATTTGCTTACCTATACTGATTGCAAAACAAAAAGATGAATAAGAATTTGGTCTAGAAAATTTCTGGTCGAATTTCCACTTTCTAGAAAATCGATGGAATTTCTATAAATAATTCCCAAGAAACTGGAAAGTCGTCGGGAATTTTCTTGTTTATTGAAAATCCTCAGCGACTCTTCATTATTATAGAAAATCAACATTTTCTAGAATGCTGGAAATTCGTCGAGGAATTCATCGTAGAGAACTAGAGTATTGACATACAAGTTTATCTGTAAATATTTTCTGGAATTACTTGTCTTTTGAATATAGATAATAAGAGATAAACCACCTTAATAAGCATGAAAATAGACTATTTTCTGTTCGACGTTTCGTCTTTAGTTAAAAGACATCATCAGTCAAATGTGACAGACGATAGTTGATTCAAAATAACAGATAAAAAGAAATACAAGTGTGTAGAACGAAATAAAATAGATAAAATAAACAGAAAATAGTCTATTTTCATGCTTATTAAGGTGGTTTATCTCTTATTATCTAAATTTAAATTCTTCACCTTAAAAAATCACTCACTTTTCTTTTGCTTTACTTAATCGACTTAATTAGAGGACACATATATGACGTAAAGGTTGGAAAGTCGACTATAGTGACAGAAAATTGCAATGAAACTTTGAAGAGATGACATATAGATTTTTTACATCAGCAAATATACAATATTACAGATGTCTAATGCTTTAGAACAACTACTTTTATTTATTTTTATTGGTTTTCTAAATAAAAACGTTCTTAGTCATCCTCACCCTCTCTGACAGTTGAAGATAATGGATGTGGAGTTATTTTCCGGGAGATCTTTGAAAAGTCGAGTGATAATTCAAATCTGACGATGAGCCTAGATGATCAAAGATGAATGTCTCACTTGATTCTCATTCTAAAAAGAATACTTTGGTCTCTCTAGTCAAATGAAAAAATACATCTGTTCATATCTCAAGTTTCGAATTTATGACTTTATCTTCCAGAGAGCTCTCAGAAAAACGATTTTTCGAAAAAACTCGGTATAATTTCTTTTTACCAAAAGATGTTTTTGGTTTTCAAATGGTGAAAACCGTAAGTTTCTAGTTATCATTATTAAAAAAAATACCTGCAAACATGCATTCATGCCCCATGAAACGTTTTTTATATGTGATATTACTTGAATCGTTGTCTCTATTACATCGAACACATTTTGATTCATGATATCACTATATTCGACTCCGCACATTTCAACCATGACGTTGAAAATTATGTAATTAATTGTCTATAAGAATGAGAATTTTGATTATAGTATTTTTAGCATTTCGTTTCATAAATCAACAACATTCATGTATCTTTGGTGGCAGAATGAGTGATTGACTCGACAGAAAAAGTTGTCCAGAAAAGAGAAGAAAGAAGAATGTTTCTAAGTCAAAGCAATAAACTTCTCTGAGTTTCACTCGGTTATTTCAATAATTAATTTTTGTTAACGTTTAAAATCCTTATCATGATATATGAAAAAAATCATCTTTCTCAGCCTTCACACTTGCATTTCCTTCAATTATTATAACTATAAGATGAAAACAGAATTCAAACCGTCACATTTATCGATAATTAGAAATTGAAATTATATTCTGTTAAATCTTCTTCATACGTCTAAAAATTGCTTCACGTGGCTTTCCAATGTATGCATAGTACTGTTAGTCTCTAAATTCAATTTGTGTTTATCTGTTAAACCAATAACCAGTACGAATCGCGTAACCTAGATCATTTGGTAATTGCATTATGTTCGTCATATCATTAATCATACTAGTAAAAGTATCAAATAGCGCTAATGGTTGAATGAATATCCACCATGGATGAAGTAATAATACGAATGGATACGCAAAAAATACTAATAATAATGCAGCACTAATTTGAATCAAAAGTCCCATGGTCTTTCAATTCTAATTACAAATAATACGATTTAGTAGAGTTAAATTTGCTTAGAATTTGTTCGAATATGCGCGAAAAAAGTTAATTTATATGTGTCAGTAGTATGAGATTGTGGTACAAACGAATATATAAGAGTCCAAACAATTCTCTTACAAATAGTCTAAATGAATAAAGAAGTTTTTCTATTCAGAAAGACTATCACATGAACTGATAATCATCGGAACTCATTATCAGAGAAATCAATCATTCATCTTCGCATCTTGACTACAATTCATTTATTTAGTTGTCGTGAGATACTTTAATGAAATATTTCTAGTGAGAATAGTGACTTTTCATCTACTGAAGATATTTTATGATTAGTTCTAAAAAGATGCATGAGAAAGAAAATATGTAAATATCTAATTACATATAAAAATGTGAGATTCAACTATAAATCACCGTTAAAAATTTCACATATAAATAAAAACACAAAAGCAGATGTTTGAAAAAAGAACAACTTTTATTGCACACATAGGAAAAACATGAAGGTTAAAGAAAATAGCTAACTTTTTCGATCAATCAAAAGATTTTGATCGTCCAACAACAAGTTCTGTACTCTTCGACGTTCTAATTGATTCAATGGATCTTTCGTCTTTGTAGTAAAATGTTCAGGTTTAGTCATAAATGCTTCGGCTCTTAATGCACTCAATGCGTTGGGTTGAAACGATATTATTTGATCAATTTCATCGTAACGAGCTGCAATAAAACGCTAAGTGAAGATAATGATAAAGTCAAATTTGAAAAATTAATTGATAGACGATGGTGCTTTTCGCGTATATCCCAACTCAAAACATTAATACAGCATGCGTAAAGCCCAAATCTCTCTTAAACAGAACTTCACTACCTACTGTATATTTTCAGTAACAGATAATATTGATTATTACTCAAAACAGTTAAAAATATGAATACAACGGAAAAATGCACCAGCAGAATCAAAAAATTACAGAATGCATCTCAGAGATGGACAAGTCCCAGCCCGGACTGATAAGCTTTTTAAAACAGGACTGCAACTGACTATTTTTGCAGGTGTAACTGATTTTTCAGATCAGTCCTTCAACTTTTGAGTTTTAGTGTAGAGAAAAATCTTTGATTTAGGCATTTAACGAAGCAGTGTCATTTTGGTAAAAAGATACAAGACAAAACACATAGTCATAGGAGCGAATGGGGAAAAAACTTCTTGGTCGCACTGATGTTTATAGAACCAGTGTTTTTAATGATTAGTGGGTCTCACTTGAACAAAATGGATTTCCACTTTGAAAATTCGATTTCCACTTTGTTTTTAGCAGGGAAAACATGGAAAATGCAGTGGTAAACTGTGGAAACCAACTTTGCTTAAAATTCCTATTAAAAACACTGTATAGGACTGAGACTAGACTAGAACTAAGGCTCTAGTGGACTGAGACTTGACTCGGACTGTAAAGTAGAGGACTTGCCCATCTCTGATACATCTCTCTAACACAACTGCAAAGTAAATGACATATAACGTCTAACTTACTTTTTGAAAAACGTACCCGTGTTGCATGAATTCTGAAAAAAAAACGGCATATTTTCAAAGAAAGTGATTTAAATTCGACAAATAGAAACGCAGACAGCAAACCTGTTTCGAGCTTCAGCTGCTTTTAACTCTCCAATTAATATTGCATGTTGCTTTTCCATATATTCATCATGTTCGATTTCAGCTTTAGACTTTTTCATTAACTTTATACCAATAGATTTTACGGAATAATGAAAATCTGAACTTTTTTCTGTCATTTTCCTCTTAAATAACAACTGGCTATAGAACAGTTTACATCTTTGAATTGATAGACATACCACTACCATGTCACCACGACGATATCCTCCCTGTTGATTGAATAATGAAACAAGAAACTGCGTGTGTATATATATATATATATTCAGAAAGAATAATAAGGATGAGAATCTACACTAAGTGATGATTGTAAAATGAGTTAACAGGATGCTGCGTCTTTTATGCTAAATTAAACACCTCAGTTTCTGACTGCAGATGATTGGTTGCTGGAAAAAGATTTATTTCTTTGCTATGTTGAAAATGATTCAGTCATTGGGTATCTATTTAGAAAATAAGATTTTAATTGATAATCGATGAAGATCACTCTTTTCCTGCTATTCTCTGGTATAATCAAGCCATTGCTATTTCTTAACTCTTTCCACAGAACGCCTGACTCCGTTTATAACCTTTCCATTCTGCACTACTCATCTCCTAAATGATATCCCATTACACTCTGATTTATATATATATTCTTACAAACGCCTCTAAATGGTAGCAGTTGAAAGCTGTATTGCTTTTGCAAGATGTCTAAGATACTTCGCAAGCATGAAAGATTAACGTGAGCGTTCACGTTATCTGCAATCGATGTGATCGACACAGTTTCTTTATTTTATGCTTAGTACGATCGTATCAGTTATAACAATTAACGATCAGACTTACCTATAGTTTCGGATAAAATGAAAGGAGTGTACGTTCAATATAAGATGACTTATCTAAATTATATTATGCTCATTCTATTCGAGTCATTTAAATTATATTTGAAAATCGACCTGCATCAATCTCTAGAAACCCAACTCTATGCTTCGAACACATGTTTTTCTGTTTGTTGATAAATATTGATAATCCTACTAACTGTAGCTCCTTTTTCTTTTCTATTTCAGAGTTTCTATTTTTATTTTATTTACAAAGAACAGAAAAGAATGGGTGGCCATGTTGAACTAAGTCCTGCAGAATTAGCTAAACTAGTTGGTTATAAAAGATATTTGAACACCGTGACGGATCATGGCAGAAAAAATATTGTCTTGTCCGTATTTGCTGGTTGGGGTTTATTTGGCTATACAATGTATAAATTATCCCAGAGTCGAAAAAAAAATAAACCAATCGACATTAAACAATTGAAAAAAGCACATTAGACATTCATTAACAAACGAGCTAACTTTCTCCGAAACATATAGTTTTAGTGTTATTATTCAAAAATAAAGACTTTTATATTTCTCTGTTCCCGATCAGTATGTGCATCGTTTTTTTCACATTTTTTTCTTTTCAAAGATGTATTTTTATTTACACTCTATTGATAAAACGAAAACAATAAACGCACATGTAGGCAATGAAAATGTACAATGACATCGTTTAAAATGTTGTTTCAGAAAGATTTACTTAAATTATTTACTCATTAATATTGATAGTATAAGAAGAGATTTGATTGTGGTTTTATTGCATTCTGCCGTATTTAAAATGCTTCCCAAACTAATATATTTGTACTTCAGAGAATATGTATTTTGTTAACTTCAACGTCTTCGAATATATTTGCAATAGAAGATAATAGATGTTTCATCAATCTAAGATCGTATCATTTGTTTTAACATGATTGGCACGACTAAATTGTTTGTTTATACGATTTCTGATTTTGATCAGGCAATATTTTTGTCGTGGTAAGATGTATTGCTTACACCGGCAATATACCTCATTCAAATAAGGAATATCTTGCTATTTTCGAGAAAATGTCATTATGTATCTCCTGCAGCAGATCGATTCATTAAATAAAGTAATGGGATGCTGGAGACTTATGCTGTGAAGAAGTGTTCAGTACTGTGGATGTTTTCTTACACTAGACAGGTGCTTTCTTGACGACAAGAGGCAATCGACATCTTTAAGTCCGAATTGGCATATAATGCGAATAGATGAAGATGAGCTTTAGCCATGTGGGAAAACTGTATATGGATAAAACTAATATATTCTGGCCCAATTAGGTATGTCAATGGTTTAAGTTTGTTTTAATTTAGTAAACCAGTTCTCCCTCATTTAAATCTCTTGTCGTCAAGAAAGCATCTATCTAGTACAGTGAATTACCATCCTTCTTGAATTTGCTGTTTTAAAAACGCATCTTTATTGCGACTAATAGTTTTTCCCCTTATAAACGACTCGGGAAGCGAGAAAAATGCTTTCCACTTTTTTCGAATTTTTCTGAACGTCTAAAAGTTACAACCTTATATATAATCTGAAAAAGTAGATACCTAAGTTGTATAGTCATAGAGTAATCAATGTACAAGGCGAAAAATGAAAACTAACGATGAATGAACTTATCGTTACTTAACAGTTTACCGGATCGACAAGTGCAAACGAACTGATAAATGTGCAAAAAAATGAATATTCTAAAGTTATAAAAAATTAATTTTTATGAAACTTCAGCAGTATTATATTAACGAGGGATAAAGAGTTGTGCAGCCACATAACAATCATTTGTAAGTAAGCCTAAAAATCTAACTGGCGAACTTAATTAATTTTCCTGATAGTTTAACGTGTACAAAACTCCCCTAAAAATGCCGATCTTGCTCACCAAATATCATTATAATAAAATGTAATGATAAAAGAAATACTAAATGAAAATGGAGCAAAAATCAACAAATATAAACTGATTATCTACGGTAATAAAACAATAGCAGCATCAGTCGACAACAAAACTTCGTAAGCGTATGAATTAACTTTCGCAAAACATAACTACTCTTTTATTGAAATTTTATTTTAGATTGTTTTCGATGAAGATGATTAAATTTGCCGTATTAAAAATCAGAGATAATGGAGGAGTAGGTTAACAGAATTTCATCAACTGTTAATTTTGATAAATCAATCTATTCTTGCAATCAATTGATCGTTATCTTCCCGGATTTTTATGAACTGGCGAAAGAGTTGACAACTAGTGGAAAATAAACTACATTCTAATGTTGAATGGAGGATTGTAGGGTACGGTGACTCACCGGAAACAAAAAATTTTGATATTTGATTAGCAAAAAAAATTTGTTTAATTGAGTTTTCAGCGCTCTGCAGCCTGATAAAGAGAGATCAATATAAACCAGATGATAATATACAGGATCGAATCGAAAAATTTTAAAAGCTTCTTCGGTCAAAAGCGATTGCAGATTTGTCTTCTCCATGGTCAGTTGTCTTGTATGCGATAACTTTTTGAACCAGGGTACTTCAGAAAAAATTTTTGACATCGTTTTGCCTCTGGTTCTATGTGGTGGCTTTTTCAAAAAATTTTGAGCAAGATATAACGATCGATTGATCGCAAAAGTAAAGATTGATTTATCAAAATTAATAGTTGATGAAATTCTCTTAACAGGGGCCTACTCCTCTATTATCTCCGATTTTTAATACGGCAAATTTAATCATCTTCATCGAAAACAATCTAAAGTAAAACAGTAGTTATGTTTTGTGAAAGTTAATCCATACGTTTACGAAGTTTTGTTGTCGACTGATGCTGCTATTGTTTTATTACCGTAGATAATCAGTTTATATTTGTTGATTTTGCTGCATTGTCATTTAATATTTGTTTACTTTGTAAGTTTTATTATCCGTAGATGACTTTTTTTGTGTTATCAGAATTGACTGACTTCTGGCGACGTCTGTCTCCGAGTTGCAGAGAAATTTCCTTAGCTTTTTTTGGCTCTGCATCGGTAGATATTTTAGGTCATGCCTTTGAATAATTTTTCTCCCATGATTAAAAAAAATGCATTTTTCTCCCTTATGATTGGTTTATCCATGCATTATGTGACAGCCATTTTTCCGTATTTTGCGCGTACACACACACACTCACAGACGGACAATATTTTGTAAGACCCTAGACTAAAGTCAAAGGGAAAAGTAAGGATGCACTACCTATAATGCCAGATGCAAGGCAAACTCCGATTAATTTTTATGCGCCCAGCCAACATGGACCACAATAATTAATGTTAGCTTATGTTGAACTTACTAATTCAAATCACACTGCACCAATGCACTTCATCTTGTTTTGAAGTAGAATCTACTCTATAAATCTGCATAACTCGAAAACATTGATTGGGACTGAAGGTAGATTAGATGGATGAGACAAGTTTGACAGAGATGTAGAAGATACTAATATTTGTTCCTCCATATGTCATGTGTAACATGTGATAAGTTTCAACAAAATGTAATAGGGCGTCTAGACAATTCAGTTTGAGTCTGGGAATCACATCTTTAACACAACCCCGTTCAAACTGTGACTCGAATATTTTGCATTTTTTAAATGAAAGCTTGCATTTCAATTGTCTATTACTTGATAAATTTTACCGCTTGATTAGTGTTTATATCTTTATTGAAATTTTTTATTTTCCTTTTTTCTTTTTTAACGGATTGATGACCAATAAAAGAAAAAAACAGTAAATAAAAGAAGGGAAAATATCAAAATCATCAAGATTTTTCTTCATACATTTCTCTTTTTATTTTAATGGTATAAATCGTGATGAATGTGTTGCACCAATACCAGGTCTACCATGTTTAACTGGTTTATAGGTAATGGAAAATTCTCCCAAATAATGTCCAATCATTTCTGGCTTAATTTCAATTTGATTAAATGTTTTTCCTTGATGGACACCGACAACACATCCAACCATTTCTGGTACAATAATCATATTACGCAAATGTGTTTTGATAGCAGCTGGTTTTTCTAATTCGACTGCTTCTTTTTTAGCTTTACGTAAACGTTTAATTAATGCCATTGGTTTTCGTTTTAAACCACGTCCTAAAAATAAATTATTGTCAAATTAAACTCGAAGAACTATAGCGAACATATAACAGAATTTGCACTGTTTAGTTCAATTTTACTCTGACGTTGTCAAACTTTTATTAATCACACATACCTAAACGACGTCTAGCACGACAATGCAATAATTGCATTAACTGATCTGTTTGCATATCTAGTAATTGATCTAAATCAACACCACGAAATAAAAATTTACGAAATGTACGTTTCTTTTTCAAATCAGTTAAATTTGTTGTTGTTGCAGCTGCGTCGTCAGCCATTATTCTTGTAGACTAAAAAGAAATTATAATGAACATTAATGATGAATTTTATTCTATATAACAATAGAAACACATTTAGTAGACATCCTCCTCTTTCGTAACCATTTCGTCTGAAATTCGAAGTGGTCGCAGAGTAAGTGATTTCGGAGAAGATAATGTCGGAGTAGGCAATCTTGCAAATTTCATATTACGGAGTAAGTACCTAAACTTTCTCCTCCCTCGAAAATCGGTAACGAAAACTCTGACTAAGTGACAGAGATAAATATTAACTTACTTTTTATATGAATAAAAATTGAGAAGATTTTAAAATCTAAAATAAACAACAAAACTTTAAACAACAAAATGTTTTCGTCGATCACACTAGCAAATTGTCATTCTCGACTATCTAAAACGCATTTGGATTAGTCTGATCAATCAATACACAGACGACAACTAGATAAAAAATTTAGCGTTGTTTTTCTCGAAATGTTTTTATTATTATTCATATATACTGAAAAAAAATTTTATTATACAATTGAAAAAAAAAATTGTAAATAAAAAAATGAGAGAGAAGGAAAATGAGAAATGAACGAAAACTGAAGAGAGAAACACAGAAAAAAAAAAGCGACACTGCAACGCAACGAATAAAAGAATTGTTTTGGTTGTTTTTTCCAATACAATAATGAGAGTACACAATATAGTAAAAAAGATAGACGCACACACACACACTACTAAAAAACAGAAGCGCGAGCAGCAAAAGAGAAAGAGTATGGCACGCGCCGCTGCGTATTGTGTATTTTCAGATCTCAAAACAATATAAAGAGAGAATAATACTTAAAGGGTGAGTAAAAAAGCGGTTATGAGCGCATAGAATACGAACCACTATCCACACGAACCGAAAAAATAGAAAAAAAATATTGCAATGAAAGACACGCACACACAAGACAAGGGAGAGGTGGGTAAAGCAAACAATGCACCAAAAAAAAAAGAACAGAAAAGCGTACACATAGCAATGTTTATCATAATAAACGAGAGAAACGAGTATTATTTTATATTTCTCATATTTGAAAAGAAACGAAAACCAACCCGTATTCAAAGCAGACAGACAGAGAGAGAGAGAAAAACTATTGCATTTGGCATTTTTTTCTTCTAAAGAGACTATGCCATTCTAGTACAACAACTTGACTATTTGCTTCGTTTAATACTTCGCCTCTCGTAAAAACAAAGAGAAAAAACGTGAATGCGGTAGATACTGCAAGTGACTATGCAACTCTTCACCTGTTTTTCATGGCACCCGTTTGCTCACCATATACGCTTCTGAGAAGTAGAATTCTTTCCTCGACATTAGCCTGAAACAAAAAACACCACGTTCTCAGGTCTTGTTTTTGTTTTTCTAAAAAAACAAATGGATCAACTGCATTGTAGAAAAAAAATTCTCTTCACAGGTGTCTGTGCGTAGTAGAGAGAAAAAAACACATCATTTTTTAAATGATAAGGGGTAAAAATTGCTATCAGAAATTACAAAAAAAAACACGAACGGCACGACAAACAAGAAAAGTTGATAATAAATATATGGCAGAATATAAGTTTTTTTGAAAGGAAAAGAAAAACCAGCAGACTAGAGAAATATTAGATCAGTTATCCAAAAAGAAAGATAACAGTATTGTTGTTATTGTCTATAACACGCACACTCTGTATCGTCTCACGGTCATTGCTTTAAATATATAAATGAGAGAATACAAACAAACAGATACGAGGTATGTATATATGACAAAAAAAGATAGACAAACAAACGAACGATTACTCACTCATTGACTACTTTCTTCTTCCCCATTACCTTATTTTGTTAAGGCAAAACCTGAGCTTAATAAGAACGACAACCAGAACAACAGCAACAACAATAACAAAGAACTGTTATTTGCACTCAAAGAGCGTACGTACACAAAAAAAAACGAACATATACACGTACACAAAAGATAATTGTACCTATAAAAAAAAGAGAACATACATAAATACATACAAACAAGAAGAGAAACTGTCGACTTCTCGAAAAAGATTGGGTTATACAACTCGATTTGACTTTGAATAAGAATAATAAAAAACCAACGAGAAAAAACAAACTGATATACACACTGTAAGAAACAAACGAAGAGAAAAAACATTCCATTCTAATATAATATATAGTAATAAGATTAATACGAATAAGTAAAGTTTTAATAAGAAAAATTGATTAAGAATAAAATAGTAAAGAGAGAGCGAAATGTTTGTTTTTTGTTTGTGTTTGAGATATATCAATAGAAGAAAAAAAACGACGCTAGCAGGTTTGTTTTTATTCTTGTGTTAGACCAAATTATATTCTTTTAAATTCAATTGTAATATTGTATCTTTAACAGCAGCGAATACAAAACGGATATTTTCAGTATCTAAATATTATAAAAAAGAAAAAATTCAAACATTTTTAGACAACAATAATAACCTCGTTACAATGTCAGGTAAGCACCATTTTCGAGGTGATCTCTCAAAGCTGCGACTAATGTATACCTTAAAACAACGTAAAATGAAAAACAACAAGACATGACTCCTCAAGAACATAGATGTGTGTTCCATCTTTAAAAATGGTCACACCTTTGGACTGCATCTTTTCTTCTGACAGACATAAGGGTGTAAACTTGAAAGAAAATATATCGTTAATTCTATGTTTTTCATGCAGATTAGTCAAAAACACAAGAGTTAATTCTAATCATTCAAAGAGTACTACTCAGGATAAGAATGATACATGTCGAATATGAAGATCAAGTCTAAACTGCATGTTGTTATTTTTCCAGAAAAAAGCAGAGAAATAATAAGCCATGCCTTTTGAATTATATCAGTTAAAAAATGTGGATAAAAAAAATGACTACTCTCATAGCACAAAACAATTTTTCAAACATATGTCACTACATAAGAAGAAAACAAAACAAAATATATCATCTTACCGGTTGCACATGTGAAATGCGAATATATAATTTTATCACTGTCTGGATTTAAATCAACATACATTTTCAGTATAAATTCTCTTGCAGCTTGAGCATCTCGTTTAGGACCTAAAAATATCATAAAAATAAAATAAACCTGTACATAATATATACTACAAGATAAATGTGTACCATCAAATTCTGGAAAATAATCAACCAAATGTGAATGCATTATTTTTTCTTCAAGTAAATCTTTTTTGTTTAAAAACAAAATCACAGATGAATTTGTAAACCACGGATATGTTATAATTGTTCGAAATAATGCTTTACTTTCTTCCATTCGATTCTAAAAGAAAAAATAGATCATTATAATAATAAATTCAAGTGTTTCATAGTATTTTAACTTACTTCATTATCGGATTCGACTAGAACTTGATCATATTCACTTAAAGCAGCCAGAAACATAATCGATGTGACATTTTCAAAGCAATGTATCCATTTTCGTCTTTCAGAACGCTGTCCACCAACATCAACCATTCTAAAAACGAAATAAATAAAGTTTATTTAACTGTTGAACAATTATTTTTACAATTATTTTACAACCGAAAAATAATATTTTCTAAATCAAATGGATATTCAATAATTCCTGTTGTCGGTACTCGAACTCTTAATACATCTTGTTCTGTTGGTAAATAACTAGGCGAGGCAATACGATCAATACTATCCAAATAGCTTAAAAAGAGAAAAGAAAATATATATTTATAGAACAAATTTAATGATAAAACTTTACTATTTAGCAGAATCGGTTAGCTGATATTCTCTTCTTCTATCGTAGCATTCTTTTATTCCCGGATCATTCCACAAGCTTTTTATTGCTTCAACATATTGAGATTCAAATGTTGTCACTGTTTCATAGTCAACACTACGAACTAATAATGCATGCTCCTAAAACAAATGAATTAAATAAAATAATTGTTAGTTGGTGGTAGAAAGAAATATAGTAAAGATCTTGTGAATTATTTATTTTTCTAAGCAAACATACTTCATTTCGTTTATCTCTATATTGTATTTTCAATGTTTCCATCGCTCTTATCATTGAATGCATGGCCATAAATATATTTTGATACACCAACTTGACAAATGAACGTTTATCGTCTTCAGAGTAGCCTGAGCCATGGATAATACGCATCTGTTTTATAAACGTGCTCTTGCCACTTTCACCAGTACCTGAAAGGGAAGCAAAAAAAACCATTTATTTTAATAAATAGGTACGCATCAAGGTAAGAGAAAAACTGGAAACTGCTCTTCACATTACTCTAAATTCCCCAATAGTGTTCAAATAGTGTTGTGGATGGACAAGAAAAAATATCTGCCTTACAGCTACCGTTATCTGTGTGGTAGTGGCAGGAATCGATTCTAATCGTTCGCTGTCATCCCTTGAGTTGATAAGTTTCTGATATGCTCATTCACATCTTTACTAGTCATCAACTATAGCTCTGATTAGCAGTCTCTGCTTTACAAAATCTTTTTTCCTTTTCTATAGAAAACTCTCACTAATAGTTTTTATGTGACTTGTTCATACCACTCTTAGTAATTTCAATAAGAAAAATCTCTCACCTAATAGTAAAAGTTTCAATTCTCGTCTCTGATTCTTTTTATCGATCCGTAATTGTTTTTCAATTTCACGATTAATCTGCTTTTGTTCACGAGCTTCAGCAGACAAACAGCACATCATCTTTGCATCTTTTTTATCGAAAATTTTTGAAAAATTGTAAAATTATTGTGTCAAAAGACGAAAAAAGAAGAGAACGAGATAAACAACAAGCAAATAATAATTCAACAAAATAACTATATGACTAGTAAATTTTCATATAAAAAAACAAAAACCAGGTCACTGTGGATTTAATCAAATGAATTAATACTCAAAGACATAATTCGAACAATAACAGGAATATTTAAGATATGAGATCATTTTAGTAAACAAATAAATATGAGCGTGTATGCTTGTATCTTAATAAATAAAATAATCACACCATCTAAAATAAGAAAAATAAATCAAGAACATGTCTCATGTTATGCGTCAACAGATTTGTTGTAAGAAGTGAGTAAGAAACGGTATGATAATAAAGAGTAAGATCTTTAATCATCGGAAACACAGCAAAAAGTCTTAATCAGAAAAGGAAGAAAATAAACAAGGTACGCAGTATAAACGAATAAATTTTGATTGAACACTTTAAAAAAAGTAAGAACAATAATCAAAACAAATAGACACTTTACTATCACATGGGAACACAACGAATAAACCAACATAGAAAAAGCGGACAGTTGCACACGTTCAGAATTAATTAATGATATTCTTCTTAACTTTTACAAACGGAGACTAATCAGACGTACACTTTTCTACTGATTACTAAGAAATAACAAAAAATCTTCTTTTATTTTTCAGTTTGAAACTCTCCCTTTCTCCATAAAACATCTTAACAGGAAGGGCATGGATACATCTTCTATACTTCAAACCAAGATAGTGCACGGGACGTACTAGTCACACACACTTCTTAATACATATGATTCTACTTTTCAATCTATATCGTTACATAGAGGCCAGAAGAAAATGTTTTCGGAAAAAAAATAAATAAATAAACAAATGTGGTTATCATTTGATTTCATTACAATAACCGATACTTCCATATTTCTGAAATACCTTATATCAAGATAATAAATATAGAGGTCTATAAACAAACACTCCTAAGAATTAGAAACTATTTATATTACAAACAAATATGTCTTCATAGTTTTGTTTTTTTGAGTTGTAGAACATAATTTTGTTACGAGTGAAATTTTGTCTCAGTGGAAAAAAATGGCTGAAATGTGGCTTGTTACATAAAGGTTAAGTAGGCGCAGAAATGGTGAATAAAACTGAAACACTCATGCAAAGCGAAAATGATGAATAAAATGGATGAAAGAAAAGTTGTCTTTAATACAAAGATCACTGTTTATATCAAACAAAAGGGTTTCTAGATAAAGAGGCAAAACTGAAAAGTAAGTTTAAGCATTAACAATTGACATTTTCATTGGTGTGTTGCATGTTGCAATCAGTGTCCCTTCTCAAACGTTCATGCAATTACATCGAGCTCTTTGTTTCTGATTTCGAAGATGTTAACGTAGTAAAATTTTAGGGATCGGTGATGTAATTTGATGATTGAGAACCATTAAGAAATGAGTTAGAGCTGATGATCAGTCATTCACATGTTAGCATTTGTCATCAAGGCTAAACAAAGTACTAGAGCTTTACAAGATGTTCAGACTAAAATTAGTTGGCAACTTTGAAAAGAGAATTATTATTTATAATTCGTTTGTAAAGTCCTCTTTTTCTCACGTAAAGTAAACTGATTTTAGAAAGCGAACCATCGGTGATTGAGGATTTAGACACTTCGCAACGTCACATATCAAAGTGATAGGCGATTATTTCAGTATTAGTCGATTTAGCGTTATTTATTACTTTGTATTTATGCTTTGTGCTCCTTTTTGTTTTGAGTTCTAAATCAAATTATCTTCTCTATAAACTGTTCCTTGAAGTCCATATGTTCCTCATTAAGAGTTTCATGAAATTCACGATAGGATTAACGCATTGTTTTCTTCAAATAAACCACAACACACATGTTATTCTACCTAAACTCAAAGTTTGCTCATACATTTTATCAGATAGTTATATTTTGAAAAAGTTTCAAGTAAAAATTTCTGTCTGTTAGTAATTTCGTGTATTAAAATACAGTTTTTTGCAATATTTACTTTTGCAAATAATCAATTGTTGAAACCATTCTCGAATATACAATAGCAAAAGAAAACATTAGATTTTTGTGAATTTTGATTGAAGGTTCCTGATATTTTTTACTTCTCTTTTTCAGATAATTTGTGTTAATAGTCCAATGGTTAATGAATTTTAAATAACATCGAAAATGATTAGTGAGTACACCTTTGTTTAGGTTGAGAAAGATATGTCCACTGTAAGAGTCTGTGCGAATTTGCTAAGAGTCATATAAATTGTTGAACCACTACGCAGATTTTTAAGCCTCTCTCACCTAATATTTGACCGTTTTCTTTCGGAGACTCCTGCTTAGAGTTTATAGTGAATAAAATGACAGAAAAATATGCAAATTTGAAATCTCCTCTTGGACAAATGCTGGTAAGCGGAAATTAGTGAAAAAATGTGAAGTTGAGGTTTTCCAAAGTTAGAAAAGACGAACTCTGCTGTCAAAAATTTTGATGATGACTTATACCGTCTCAAACTCCTTACTTCTCACATATGACAGTTCAAAAATGATTAGGAAAAAATAAGAATCTCATATTTACTATGCTGAACACATTGCTAACTGCTGTTGATTGAATCTAAATAAAGAATTCTATTTTTAGACTATGAGAGTCTACTCTGACTAGTTTCGTTTTTTTTCTGTGACTTTTTGTTCATTTTGTTTTCAATGATTTAGAACATAAATCATCGTCTCGTTCTCATTCACGCGATCGTTCTCATTCGTCATCTCGACATCGACATCATCACGGTCACCATCATTCTCATCGAACCACAAAGCAAACACCACAACCGCCGCCTCTTGGTTCAAATCGAACAGTTATTTATGAAGAAGTTCCGATCGTCACTGCACCTTCTATCGAAAAACGACGTCCAACTCATTTAAAATCATCTGTAATAACTACTGTCTCTACTAGTACATTACCTCCTCCAAAACGTGTTGTGGAATACTCATCTCCAACATCCAGTCGCAATTCTAATAGTAATAATTCAGGTTCATTTTATCGTCGACATCCAGAAACTCAAGATCCAGAACAACAAAGACATCATCAACAAAGGATTAATTATGATATATATCATTCAGAAATAATAGACGATGAAGACATTGATGAAGACGACGGTGAACGATTTTCTCCTGCACCACCACCCGTTCAAACTTCAAAACACCACCATCGACAAAACGACAGTACGACAATCTCGAAAAAAACTAAACGACGCCATCAAAGTACGTAGAATTATCCAAGCGTTTCAAGATTGCAATTATTGAAGAAAGTCACAAAACCGCACTTTTGGACTACTACAACCTCGTTAAGTGTTATCTGCTTCTTTTTTTAAGGTTCAAGTGATCGATCAAAACGTCAGCGACAAGATGAACATCATTCGGAACCAGACGATGACGACGCAGAACAGCATACAGAGGATGAGAAAAAATCTTGGTCGAAGCAAAAAACAGAAGAAAATGATACTGAGATGCATGAAAATGAAGAAGAAGAAGATGATGAAGAAGAAGATATTCATGATCAATTATCATCACCAGAGAAGAAAGAAGTGAAAAAAGACAAATCACAACTACGAGAAAAACGTAAAAATGATATATTTATCTAATGATTTAACATGTAGATGATGAATGTCTTAGAATAAATTAGCATACCAAATTTTCTATTTTAACATAGTTCACAAGAACGTTTTTTGAAGCTCCCATTTGACACTCTAATGTACACATTAATTTATAGGAAGTAGGTGTTTCTTGTTTTCGAGATTTTACACTGGTTAATGCAAGAGGATCTATTATCTTTGTTTTAATTCAATCTTGCAATATTTTATACTATTTTTATATAATTATTTTTATTTGTTTTCTGTATACTTTAGTGTCAAGTAGCAGTCGATCCACTTCCGAACATGAGACAACACCTATTGAAGATAATGGTAGTAATGATAAACGGCAGCGTCAATCGTCAAATGAACAACGCTCAAGATCAAGATCATCTGTCTCACATAGTTCTGGTATGTTCCTTTACAATTATACCTGAATAATTGTTATATAGTAGCTGATTAGGGTACCTATTTATAAATACCTTCATTCATTTGACATTTATTTTAGACAATTCTCCTTCTACTGAACCTTTACCAGACCAACAACATCCGCATCGTAGTCGTTTTGATCATGATGAAGATGAAAAAGAAGAGGAGGGGCAGAGACGACATTCTCGAACTCATTCAAGTGATAACGACGATACATCCCCTGTGGAAAAAGCTCAAAAACGCCGTCATTCTTCTCCGCCAACACCTGATGAAATCGATGATGACGTTGAAGATGATGGAATAATAAAAGAAGAGTTTGAACCTAAAAAACCGTCCTTACCATCTTACTATCCAGCCATACAAGGCTGTAGACGTGTTGAAGAATTCCAGTGTTTGAATCGAATTGAAGAAGGAACCTATGGAGTTGTATTTAGAGCAAAAGAAACAAAAACCGGTAGGAAGTGAATGATACTAATAAAGATTATTGTCATTGTATGTATTCTTCTGTTTTAGGTGAAATAGTCGCTTTAAAACGTTTAAAAATGGAAAAAGAAAAAGAAGGTTTTCCAATAACATCATTAAGAGAAATCTGTTGTATATTAAAATCACAACATGAAAACGTCGTCACTGTTAGGGTACGCATCGCATTAACTATCATAAATAAAAAGTCTTCCATTGTCTTATGAATTTTCTAATTCTAGAATTATTTTTCAATTCTAATTTTTTTTCTGTTTTTTATCTCGAATAGGAAATTGTTGTTGGTAATGATATGAATCGTATATATATTGTTATGGAATATGTTGAACATGATTTGAAAAGTTTAATGACGTATACGATGAAAAAACCATTCACACTAGGTTTGTACAAATGACACAAATGATAATGTTCAACACAGGCTAGTGGGAAGA